ACTATAATTTTGTAAAAAGTATTTTAAAAAGTGAGGTAAATTCAGTGAAGTAAAACTTGGAATGTTTTATTAAGAAAAATGTTTAACTATTAGCATATGTTATTGATTCCATATTAGCCCGTTTGTAGCTGAAAATGAATTTAGCATTAGATTCTGGTGGTGAATTTCTTGTTTAAGAAATATGACCACAATGTAAAGTTTGGTATGATATTATTAATTTAAGTATCTATTTAGACAATTTTCAAATCTGTTTATATTGTACATACACAATGCGGTTTTTTCACATTTAATTGATCAGGTTTCATATTGGGTGTTTCAGGTTAGATACACTTGGAGAACGCATGTATGGTTATGAAGTATCTCCACACAAGCATAGACAAAATAACAAAATTCAATCTGGTCTGAAAGGTTCTTGATCTTCGGGAGTTGCTTGGGGAAGGGGTGGTTATAATTGTCAGGAGAAATGGATCTGTGTTCAAAAGGCCTCTAGTCATATCATTTTCTACACTTGACCTTCTAGATTCTCATCACTTACTAGTTAAGTGTAAACCTAAGACAGATTTTGAAAGCTTTTAGTTTTCTAGATATATTAGATTTCTAGATATAGTAGAAATTTGTAGCAACATTAGTTGTATTTTGGAAAATTGGGGGTTGAGTTCAAAGATCGAAAAGGGAATGTTAATCCTTGAAGCTGCATAAAGATGAACTCATTCTATGGGGTTTCTGAGCACCACAGAATGGATAACAGCAAGCCACGTTAGCCCCTGGGCCACATTTTATGAGTACCTAATCTAACCGGATTCATACTCCATTCACTCTTAGAAAAACAGTTTGCAATACAGTCATAGCCTGGAGTCTGGTTCTTAGATTTAGCTGTAAGCCCTAACAACACCCCTATGGAGTGTTGGCTAAGGGTGGAGCTTGAAATATCTGCCTGCTGAGAAGTGAAGGCTGATGACATGGGGGTGGTGGGGGTCATTGACCTCTGGTCAATGTCTATAATGTTCACCTCATATTAGAAATAAACACATTCAGCTCCTGAATGTTTTGTCTGAAATTATACTTTATGAAATGGTCCTTCCCTTCTCAATAAAACTAATTAACTAAAATATTCATTGAGTTTTCTCAGCCTCAGACTGCTATGTTACATGGAAAGGGAAATATGTCCATTTTTCCAACTGTATGTTGGGCTAAATAATGTGAAAGAAGGAAAGGACTTTACTCTGCTAGTTGTTGCTCACTATATGGGGCGGCATTAATTTCCGTTTCATGGCCATTAAGCCAGTGCTCTCCAAAAAACATTTCCACAGTCATGTGGCTAGCATGCTGTTGCAGAGCGCTGTTTCCTCCCCCCCCAAAGAGATACCTACTTATCTACTCACATTTTCATGCTTTCAAAGTGCTAGGTGGATAGGAGCTAGGTGAAGATGCGCACTCACCCTGACATGCAACACTTGAGTCTTGATCCCAGGCTCTCAGCTTTCCAGCTGCCAAGCCCAGCATCTTAACTCCTGAGTAGTGGTGGGATTCAGCCAGTTCGCACCAGTTTGGCAGAACCGGTAGCTAATTTTTTGTTGCCCAGGTCCAGAACGGACTTCCACAAGCAGCATCCACACAAAGAACCGGTTGTTTGAATCCCACCACTGTTCCTGAGTCATCATGATGTGATGACCAAAGCAAAACAAAACAAAACAAAATAAAACCGCTATTAGGGTACAGTTTACAAAGGATACAGTATTAACTCATGCTTTTGTTATCTTGTGATTTTTTTAAAAAATATACATTTGCACATTGACAAACTAGAGTTCACTCCCATTGTCTGTCCCCTTGGTCAATTGTTAGAGATTGCTGGAAAAATAACAGAGTGTATGCTTTGATGGAAAGCAGATTCAGTATCTTGGATTGATTCATTCCTAGCAAAGCCAAATCAATTAAACAATAAAAAATAACTTCATACCCCATGATAAGCATAGGACATCATAGAAACATAAAATTCTTTAAAGAGTTTCATGAAAATCCTAGATATTTTTTTTAAAAAAATCCTTGCCAAAATTGTACTCCATTAAGCATAAGTGCATATTAAATACTCCTAGTACTACTATCAAAGTACAGTTTTTTCCCCAAAATATACATTTTAAATGTATCTCAATATGTAGAATTTAAGGAGAACTCAGTATAAATCTAACTGGGTCGGAATATTGAAGAGGTGTCAAAGACAGGATAATAAATTTTTCATCCACCTACTAGTGCAGATCTTTTAGTTTAGCTTGAATTGAAATTGAATTTCTAACTCACTCCTTTAATCACACTTAAATTTTTCCCCATACCTCTCTTTAACTTTTGAAGTCGAGCTGTGCTGTAATCTTTAGTACCAAAAATGTGACAGCTTTCATTCAATTTATCTTGCTGTTCTTATTGAAGAATGGGTAGATTTTTCTTCTTTGTATGGTTAGCATCTTATTAAAGTTTTTTTCTCTTTTTTTGCAAAGTGAAAATGTCATTTTCAGCTGTTCTTCAGTTTTTACATTTCCTTCATCAGTGAAGAATTAAAAAAATGATGTAATGCTTGTTTAGCATATAACTGATTTCCCTCCTGGAGATGGCTGGATACAATTCAGGCAAAAAAAAAAAAAAAAAAAGGGTTGGTTGCTGCGAAATCCATTCTCTCTCCTGCTCTTTCTCTTGTTTCCTCTCTCTTTCTTTCTCTCTCACCCCCATTTGCACAGAGTTATATGAGAAATTATAAGCTGAGAGAATAACTAGCATTCCACATCTCATTTGTACATGGAAATATATGTCTGCACACGCTAGACCACACACAAGAGTCTGCATATAGACTAACTGTTCCCTAGTGATACTATCTTACTCGTTGCTTCATATCTTTGTGGCAGAACTACTCTTAGTTTTATATTGCTTTAGGAAGGCAACTGCACAACAGGTCTTTGGTTGCTTTACATCTGGGAAATTAAGTAAGTAAAGGTTGGGCCAATTGTAGAGATGCACAAACTAGGAAATGGATTTCAAGTCCAGTTTATGTTGCATTTAGGGGAAAAACTGGTAAAAAAAAGTCTTTTCATCCTACTCTCTTTCTGAAAAAAAAAGTATGGCAAGGAAAAATAATAAATAAAAATATAATCTAAGAGTTGAGTACAATAATGGCTGCAATGAGCTTTATCAAAAAGTAGTAGTTTTAAACCTTAGTGCAGATATGAAGATTAGATCTTACAGTTTAAAAATATGGACAGTTCAATACCTTCATAACAGCAATGTCAAACTTCGTTAGAGAACCATTTATTTTTAAGGCAACCATTACAATTCAAAATCTATATTCATTTACCAAAATAAAATCAATTGAGTTCCTTATTGAGCTGATCATTCTTGATAAGATTTACAACAGGTTGTGCTGTAAAATAACCTGAAATTACTTGAGAATAGCAGGTGGGAGCATACATTGCATTAAGACTACGTCTTGCTTACTTTTGAGTTAACAAATTGTGTGATGCCAAACATTGTGGTTAGTTGACTTCAGGTTATGGCTTACTATTATGCCACAATGTTCAATGTATGAACCAAGACATTAGCCAGTATGACTTATTCAACAAAATCATGATTAAAGCAAACTGTACATTCATGTAATATGTGAACTTGGCCCATCTCTATTAGGCTTAAAAGAAAATTAGGGGAAAAAAACTTGAATGAAAAAAAATCCACTATGAAATATTTTTATGTTTTAGAACTTAAGTCAGATAAACCTCAAAAATGCTTGGGATTGTATTTACTTAATTTTTTAAATTTTATTTGTTTTTCTTTTTTCCAATGATGGCATAGTTCCAAAAGGATATAAGCGACTGATTTAGAATATTTTATCTTCAGTTTTAAGGGAACAATATCAATTAAAGTCTTGAAATAGCTTTGAAAATATTTGGCTAGCCATTTCCAGGGGCAATGTGTATATGTTTTTAATTTATTGAGGAATACATTTTAATCTTTTCTCTTGTTGCCTCACCTATTTATTTCTTGGTCATCACTTAGGTCTATTTCATTTGTTTGTTTAAGAAAAGGTATTTTTATGTCTCCTAAAGTCACTATTTGGGGCATTCCTTCCACTGTTATAACAAAAATGTGAGGTTGATGATGTCCTTGTCGTGGGTCTTTAATGATAAAATGTCTAAATTCCATTCAACTCAGTATATAACTTTTCTCTTGAGTACAGAGATGAACCGAGCCATTTCAGGAACCGGAAGGAACGTGCACCTTGAGATTGAATAGATCATCCAAATTGGTCCCAAACTGATTTGCAAAAATAGATTTGCGAAGATGGTTTTTTTTTTCAGAACAAGTTTAGCATTACAAAACTCAGTACAAAAAAAAAAAAAAACCCAACCAGAATAAATCAGTTTTATTCACAGACTTTTCTCTTTGTACAACACACTGTTCCCAAATGAAGAAGATATAATTAATACAAATAGAATTATTGATCTGCTTTTTTATACTATTCCTTTTTAGAAGCATTGACTTGGTTATTAAAGCATTTAACCAAGCATGTGAAATTTATCTTATGCAGTTATTATTTAGTAAAATATGACATGATTGTAATTCAAATGATCCTTTAACATTGTACATTATTTCATGATGATTACAATAAATATAGATAAATGATCACATTGAGTTCAAAACTGGACATTTAAAATTTTTGATCCTATTGTCGCTAGGTTTATACCTGATAATACAAGATTACTGGGTACTTTGTTTCTCCATATCAACAGTGGGTTAAAATTTCATTTTTGGAATGCTTAGAAAATGGTATTTTTCCATATATATTTTTTTGCAAAATTATCTCATTGGTTGTTTTTCCAGTTTGAAACTCTACAACTAATAGTTGTTGCTTTAGCTTTCTGTGTATAGTAACATTATTAGATATGTAAAATATGTTCAATTGGCTTACTATTGTGATATTTTACTATTATTCCATATTTTTATATATTCATATTTTATTATAGGTTGATGCCTTGAGATTACGTTTAGAAGAAAAAGAAAGTTTTCTTAATAAAAAAACCAAACAACTGCAAGACCTCACAGAAGAAAAAGGAACTCTAGCTGGAGAAATTCGAGATATGAAGGACATGTTAGAAGTTAAAGAAAGAAAAATTAATGTTCTACAAAAAAAGGTAGGTGTTATGACAAGGATCATTACAATTGGACAATCAGTAGAAATATGCGGGACTGATCAGAGAGCAGCCATTGACTGCCTTTCTCTCTTTTTTTTGTTAAAAATACTTTACTGACTCTTTCCTTTGCTTTTTTTAAGGTTGAGGGAAACCTTTAAGTGTCATACACTCAAAAAGCAGGAAATTATATAGGAAATAAGCTCTATATATTCAGAAGCATCTTCCAATGGATTTGGTATTGCACCATCAACAGCTTTTTTTGAACAGCTTGCTTTGTTTCATATGGCTCTTTTTCAAACATCTTATCCACACTTTTTCCAATAAATTTTCACCCCCCTTGGGATTTATTAACTTTTCTTTCCCTTTCAGAGATCCACTATCTTTATGGGTGGGGTGATGAGTACCACATTTAACTACCTTTACAAGTGGCATCATTCCCTCATGCTGCAGCTACCAAAAAAACCAACACAGTCGTAGGCTGAATTAACAGAAGGATAGAATCAAGATCACATGAAGTGTTAGTACCACTTTATAATGCCTTGGTAAAACAAAGATTATTAGAGGACTGGAGGCTAAAACATACGAAGAATGGTTGCAGGAACTGGGTATGTTTAGTTTAATGAAGAGAAGAACTAAGGATGATATGATAGCAGTGTTCCAATATCTAAGGGGCTGCCACAAAGAAGAGGGGATCAACTATTCTCCAAGGCACCTGAAGCAACGGATGGAAACTGATCAAGGAGAGAAGCAATCTGGAACTTGAGAATTTTCCTGACAGTTAGAATAATTAATCAGTGGAACGACTTGCCTCCAGAAGTTGTGGGTGCTCCAACGCTGAGGTTTTTAAGAAGAGATTGGACAACCATTTGCCTGAACTGATATAGCGTTTCCTGCCTGAGCAGTGGGTTGAATTAGAAGTTCTTCAAGGTCCCTTCCAATTTTGTTATTCTATTAATCTGTTATCACTTACCTGACCTTGCTTGATCTTGAAAAGGTTAAGCAGGATTGGTTCTGGTAAAATGGGGCAAGACATTCTAGAGCTGAAGGACAGACTTGGAAGTTTAAAACAACTAACAATCACTCTCATTTTATTTCATGGAGAAGAATATGGATTTAAATTCAAGTGAAATTTCTGACCCCCTTGCACCAATTTTAGTTATGAAGAGCCAAGAGACATTATTACGGATTATTACTAGAGAATATTCACACCAGCAGCCTTTAGTCTCTCAGGTTTTCCCATTTTCATTGATTTGAAAACATCAGAAAGGATAATTTGCTATGGTTTTGCAAAGATTGAGAAATAGGGACAGATCTACAGCAGAATACAACATCAGCAATGAACAATTGAATATTTATGTATAGTCATACATATATTTCATCAAAAAATGACCGGGGAAGGTGGTGGATAGTGGATTTTTTTCTAACATGTTTGCTTCCTATTTTTGTAATCCCATTTTGCATGCATAATTTAGTTAACAATCAGTGGGCAAATATATCTGCTAGTAAAAAGCAAATGATTATACTGTATATTTGTAGAATGGTATATACTGTTTTTGTTGGTTATATGTGATTTTGATTCTTCTCACTTAAAAGAATTGAATGGTATGATGAGGTATACTTTTTTCTCAGTTAATTAGATGTTATTAAATATCAATTTCTATTGAATAGATACAGATTAAAATCAAATTTGTCTTGAAAGTAATTCCAAGCAAATTCCTGTATGTGTTTCTATAGTTTGTACTGGTAATACCTAATACAAACAATTTTTGGATTATATGTTTTAGAGGGAGATTAACACTAGGTTTCTAGAATAGATTTCATAATTGTAAGCACAAACTAATTCATGTTTTCACTTGCAAGATCAAATAAATTTCTCCAAGTGTAGAAGTAAATAGTGCTATAAGGATTAAGGGGTTCAGACCAGTTATTTCTGTTTAAATGCCTGGGTTATGGCTGTAGTTTTCTCTGTGGCCTTGAGGACTGCATGATTTATTTCCAACAGATGGTGTGATAAATTCATTCACAGATGATTTATCTGAAGAAAGTTTTAACTGAAACACTATCCTCTTTCCCTTCCAATTGTTTAAGTAAATTCATATCATTATACCATAAAGAAAAGGTTCACTGTTTATTTTCCTTAGGTCTGGTGTGCAGTTCCCAAGTTAGACATTCAGTTTTCCATTTAAAAATGTCTTTTTAAAAATGGTCTTCTTATTAAGTTTATAAGCATAGACTGATTGTAGAGTACACCTTCCTTTTTGGAAGGCTTTTTCTACTTACTTTTATCCAGACGGTTATTTTACCTTTTCTCCAGGACCAGGTAAATTACTCCCTCTTGGTCATTTCATGAAATGGTGGTTTCCCTGCTTATTTAATGTGGAATCCAAATGCTTATACATGGATCTCCATGGCTTATTATATCATTTTGGGAAGACTCTTAAAATGCTTTCTTGTTTTAACCTATACCCAGTTCCTGATGCACTTACACGTGTAATTTTAATGCACCCATATCACCTAAAAATCTAAACACCAAAATGAACACATATGAAGATTGAAAAAAATACAGGGAAACTTTGGGAGAAATGCGTTTAAAATAAAAATGTATAACTAAAAGGTTCTTCGCATCTCCCTGAACTTTGTCTGCACCTCCCCAAGGGAAGTACACTTCACAGTTTGGGAATCCTGTCCTAAACAATAGAATAACTGTGGAGGATACAGTGATCCTGGAAAAACATGAGTCTGTTTTAAGTAGTTGCAGAGAGATGCTATATTTATTCTTCTGTGACTTGTGAAATACTTTTTGTCTTTAATCTGAAGCACTGCACAATTATAGCAGATGTTCCTCACTTTAGTCCTTAAGGAAATAGATATAATATAAAGGTGTTCCTGCGGGTTTTATTCCCTCAGTCGTAGCTGATTTTAGGGGGTTGTGCTCATCTCTGTTTCTGTAAGCCAGGGGTGTCAAACTGCTGGCCCACGGGCCAGATGTGTCATGCCGAAACCGCGCCCACCCCATTGCCAGCAATAGAAAAAAAGTCATGGACTTCTGGTTCTGGTTCGCGGCGTCACTAGTCATATGAAGAGACTTCTCTCCTTGTCGGCTAGGTTTCCCTCCGTTGGTGGACCCTTATACGGGTCCAAAGTCGCCCTGGAGGGTGCGACTTCCATTGAGGAGGCTGCTGTCCGGCTGTGGAGGAGCGGCGGCTCCTCCAGCTGTCCGGATGAATCTCCGAGGGCCGACGGAGAAGAAGATCGGCCAGTAAAATGGCCAATCGCCCTGCCGCTTCAGACCATAAGTCAGACAACATCTAAGCTTTGAGTGCCCCCGTGGTGAATCTGGGTGAGAATTTTTTCTCATTTTTCTCTCTTTTTTGCCTTTTTTCGTTTGTGTACCTGTAAGAACTTTTGAAATTATTTCCCTGGTTTGGAAAAGCAGCTTCTGCTTTCTTTGGGAAGAAAGGCATTTTACAAATACTGAAAGACTATATTTTACTTTTATTTGGATGCTAAAAAGGAAAAAAAGAGAAGGAAAAGGTTTTCTCTCTCCTTTCTTTTTAAGAATTTTACTTTTTCTATTTTTTATATATACATTATACTCTAAAAGACAGAAAAAAAAGAATTGATTTTTGGAAAAGACTTTCTTAACTTTCTTAATAATATTGCAACTTTGCTTATTCTTCTATTGAATTTCAAAACACTAAAGATAAGCTGTACACCTGTGAAGCTGTGGGGGTGGATGTTTTTACATTAAACAAAGCCTCTACAGAAAAGAAAAAGAGACTTCCTTTTAAGCATTAATATTAAAATAGAGAAACCTCAGATACAACTGAACTGTGCACTTATATTGGAAAAGATTTATGAGGCCACTGCAGAAATTTGTGCTACATTTAAAAACTGTACTTTAGAATTAAGATCCAGAGATTCTACTACATTTGCTCAAACTGATGTCCAGGTTACAACTGATCATGGCATAAATCAAAATGTACCAGAAGAGGAACTTACAGAGATAGAAGTGGAATTTATTTCATCTGACAATCCTTTCTTCATCAACTTAGAGAACCAGAAGAAGCAAAGATTAAGACCTCAAAATACAAAGCAACTACATTGCAAGGAGAACAGAAAAAGACGTTTACTGCAGAGGAAGAGATTTATATTTTCTCAAAGATTAATACAAGCAACAAGAACCGATCTATTGGTTGAAAGGGAAAAAAGACGTTTACTGCAGAGGAAGGGACGTTCATTTTCCCAAAGATTACTTCAAGCATCAAGAATGGATTTACTGGTTGAAAGGGAAGCGCTTTTATGGAAGCCCATGTGGCATAGAAAGAAACCCAGAATTAGACTGAAAAAGAAATTTAAAAATGTTTAATGGAGTAAAAGGCAATGTTGATTTTATGGATTGTTTTAAGGATAATGATCTAGAACCAAAACTAAGAAAAATGCAATTATAGACATGCGTGTTTAAATTAGTAAGTGCTTAAATTGATTGGTGATTTTTGTGTATAATAATATGATCTGATAAGGTATGATAATTAATTGGATGGAATTTGAAGTTTGTGTAATGAATTGAAAGGAATTAAGGTTTAACATTATTATTATTTTTTCTTTTTTCTTTTCTCTTAATTAAGTCAGTTATAACTATATACATATGTGTTTAAATTAGTTAGATGCTTCTTTTGTTCTATGGAATGGTTTGGATAAAAGAACCTTGGCTCTATGGATTGTATTAAGGATAAAAAATATATAATCATATACATATACATATATATATATATATATATATATATATATATATATATATATATATATGTCTTTGATTATTCAGGTTTTCTCCTGCGTAAAATTGGAAGTGTCTTGGCGACGTTTCGACAAAGTCCCATTTGTCATCTTCAGGCTGGTGTTTTCTGGCAAATATAGCTTCCCTCCTTTGTAAGCCAAGCCATCTCTGCATGTTAGGGACACTTGATTATCTTTGAACCATTAGTCGGTGAGGAGCTCTC